AGTGATCCTAGTGGTATTCCGTGGCACTACTCATTTTGTTTGCACGATGCACGATGATTACAACACACTATGGAACAGCTACCATAACTCATTAGGTCACGAGAATCTCTGAATATTCCCTGATCCTGCAGTTTCCCAAACTGAAAACCCTACACCCCGCAATTCCCCATGAGCTGTCGGCCCTCATCTAGTAAGACTTTGATGGAATTGATTGGTTAGAAGGTCATACTGCAGATCTGCTAGTGACGGCTAGCGCCCTTCAAAAACCAAAGGGCTGTGTGAAGTGCAGGTTAGGATAACGAGCTCCCCCAGACCCACGAAACCATCCCTCAAGGCATGAAGATGCTCCAAGCCCCGAAAGCGTGAGGCAAGAAACACCATCTTCAAGAACAACCCAAGCCCATTGAACCAAGATGCCATAGAGGCTTAACCCTCGCCCCCCAAACCCTATTCCCGAAGCTGCTTTCGACCAAATACAACATATATATTATAGTCCCACGAAGCCCAAGCCAAAGAAGACTTAGCCCCTCAACACCAAGAAGAGGACATACTTACGCGCACACAAAGAAATCCGTACAATCCTAAACCTTGCTAGTAGCCTTACAACCCTCCACCCTACAGTACCGCGACAAATCCCAAACCCTGCAAACCTAAGTAGAGCAGCCCGACACCCTAAACTCCAAACCGTAATCCCGAAACGCCCTAAACCCTCTTCATGCTGTGGGCCTCGAAGCCGTCGCCGCATGCGTCCACTCCCGGTGGGTCGGGCTCCTGGCTTTCTCAAGTTGACATCTGTTTGTGCATTTTTTGGGAGGGTTTAATGAGAAAGATGTCCATATAAGGATTCTTCATCGGGTTTCATGCGGTTGTTGCAGGATTTGTGCAGAGCTTTGTAAAGTCTTACAAGGGTTGTATAGGGTTTCTTAGACATATCACGGTTTGGGGCGAGGGTTCGCGGTTTAGGGTTATTTCAACGACAAACCCTTCTACCGGATGACCCCCTTTACGGCTTAGGCTCCGAGCTTCCGCTCAACATGCCAAACCCCGGTCCGAACTCCCCCAAGCCATCCTAAACCCTAAGCCCTAAACCCTAAACCCTCAACCCTAAGCCCCCAACCCTAAACCCAGAGCCCTAAGCCATGGACACCTCCCCGGAACCGCCACGCCCTCAGCTTCCCGAAGCCTACTTAAAGGATCATGGGACTTAGTAACTGAGGTTATGAACAAGGTAACCATACTTATAACCCCAATTAAATAACTTGTAACCCTACTTACTAAGTCCCAAGATCCTCCCAGTAGAAACCCCGAGCTCTCCCGATCCTGCCAATCCTCCCCCTCAGCCTCGACGGCCTCAGATTCGGGTCAAACTCTGAGATGGGGATCGTGCTCAGACTTGTGTAGGACAGGGGCCCTAATAATTAGAATAGGGCCTGGGGGTATTTTCTACTATAGTTCCAATAAGGAACCCCCAAAATAGTATCGGTAGTTATTTTAGGCTCCTACATTACTTTCTGCGGGTTGAAACTGAGTCCTCGAAGGATTAGGGGGCTCAGGTTGCGGTACTCTCTTCGTGTCCAAGACCCTAGGAGCTGGTCGCGGGTGGAAGTACCGCTCAACCTTAAACCCCTAAACCCTGAACCCTAAACTCTAAACCCTAAAGCCTGAACCCTCAACCCCTAAACCCTACACCCCTATTCCCCCTGAACCCTAAACCCCTAAACCCTCAACCCCTAACCCCTAAAACCTAAACCCCTGTGCACCCTGAACCCTAAACCCTAAACTAGAGAGTTGGGCCGGGCGCTTCGAGAGATGTCGGAGCTTTGGAAGGCAGGGAGGGTCTGGTGCGGTCCTCGGGCTTCGGTGGGAGCCGTAATAAGTCCAATAGGATTCCGAGGTAGATTAAACTATGCTTAAACTAAGGATCCCCAAAATATATTATACTTAAAGAAAGAAGCCCAAAACATGCTGTACTAAAAACAAGGAGCCCCAAAATAGTCGTCTTGGTAATTATTCAGGCCCCCAACCCCTAAACCCTAAACCCTAAACCCTATACCCTAAACCCTAAACCCTAAACCCTAAACCCTAAACCCTAAACCCTAAACCCTAAATAAGAGACTCAGACCTCTGCTTAAGACCTTGGAGGTGACACGCATGCAGACCCGAGGTTGACGGCAACCACACGAGGCGTACTTGGAGGATCTTGGGACTTAGTAAGTAGGGTTACGGTTTAGGGTTTAGGGTTTAGGGTTTAGGGTTTAGGATTTAGGGGTTAGGGGTTTAGGGTTGGGTTTATAAGTATAGTTACCTTGTTTATAACCTCAGTTACTAAGTCCCATGATCCTTTAAGTATCGCACCAAGCTACTGCAAACACCCGGATAGTAGGGCCCTCTCATTGAATCACCCGCTGCCCCCTGATGTAGGGGCCAAAATAATTACCTACACTATTTTGGGGGCTCCTTATTAAAAACAATACTATCAAGGAGCGCAAAACCCTATTTTGACTATGAAGGCCCCTACATTAAACCTTAAACCTATGAAGGCCCCTACATTAAACCTTAAACATCAGACCCATGTCTTCCGAGCCCACAGCACCGCAAATCTTGAGCCAGGAGATCTCCCCCTGACGGGTCGGAGTTCGGCTTAGATCGCAAAGAGATGACGGTTTGGGGTTTTAGGGTTTTAGGGTTTAGGGTCTTAGCGTTTAGGGGTTTAGGGGTTTAGGGTTTAGGGTTTAGGGGTTTAGGGTTTAGGGATGTATCACTGAAACGTAAATCAGGAGTTCGGGACTCAAAGACATTCAGTTCACAAATGCTCACGGTGCTGGAGGCTAAGATGACTGAACATCCCCATCTTCCCACATGTCTTGGGATCCTACTAGCACTGGAACCATGAATCTTGAAGCCGTATGACACCACGGGCTCCTCAACATCAACCCCCAAGCCACCCTGCGAAGCTGAAAAACTGAACTCTATCTCCTTAAGCCCTACCCATAGGCCCCATAGTAGTTCCTTTTTGGGATTACCTTACAGGATTCTACTTATGAACCCCAAAAAGGAACTACTATGGGGCCTATGGGTACACACAACACACTGCACTGCAGCTGGTCCGCACCTGCGGGCTGACGACCGGATCAACCTTGCGGGGAGGGGGGCCCGGAGGCGTTCGGGGTACAGGGCTCTTCAAGCTCGATGCCCCAAGCCCTAAACCCTAAGCCCTTATGGTTCATGCTTTCGGGTCTGCACGTCAGGACGCCGGCACTCTTTTCTCTCTTTCCATGGTCAATATCGGCATGGTCAGGGTTTAGGGTTTCGGGAGCTGTATGATGCAAGGTGCAATTCCCCCAATAGCCTGCCCTGGAAGTTGGAGTTCCCCACGTCTGACTGCGATTCCCAACGGTTGTCAATACGAGAGGATACTTGGGTTGAGGGTTTAGGGGTTAGGGATCATGCCAGGGGGAACAGCAATGACAATGAACAAACAACAGCCCAAAACTCAAAACCGAAGCAGAAAGCAAAGTGCGAACGGCAAGACGCGCAGAAAGGAGCAAGATTAAAGCAAGCAGCCGAAGTAAGAAATACACAGCTAGAGGCACGACTGGCGAGGGGTGCGGGAGGAGCTTCAAGAATCCTTTACAAACACAATAGTCAGTGTAGCCTTTCTTTAACTTGCTCTGAGGACTTGGCACTGAGTCTTTGTCTACAAAAAGCACAAGTACTGAGCCCATGCATGGCAAGGCCTGGAACTCTCTTTTCTGCCACGTGACTCAGGAAAGGTCTTGTAGTAGAAGCTCTACACACTTCCATCGTGTAGTTCTTCTCATCGTCCCAAAACCCCCAAGCGGGATGTGGGACAGTTCTTCTCAAATGCCCCACACCCATTTCAAACAAACGGGATGCGGGACAAGTCTCTCAAACGTCCTATACTCCCAATGGAGCGCAATGCATTGTCGGACAGACTTCTTTCTAAGAGGTCTTTGGTCCTGGTGTAGGCACCTCGATGATCTGGGACGCGCAGCTTTCCCCTCAAAGCGCTAGACAGGGCTTAGGACTCCTAGGTTGCAACGTACAGCGCACCAAAGCACGGAACCCTGCACCCAAGCCGAAAGCAGGCAGCAAGGTCCTATGTCACCGATAACATGCTCTGATAAAAACCTTACTTGTCCAATATGCTTGGGAACTAGTCGCAAACCTTCAGGATTCAATCTAAAGGGAAGTCCACAATATATTAAAGATTACCTGCTCTATTGTTCAGGCAAAGCATAGGGTCGCGGGTCGACTTGTGTTCGGAGACGGGCGCATCGGACCATATCAGTAAGTTCTAGCTTGGCCTGCCCCGGCATCACGTAGAGAAAAACGCTGGTAGACTGACCCAAATTGCAACACATGAGATCGTGAACTCCAAACACCTGAAACCCTGTCTCGCCCTACATGCATTGACGGTCTGAATCGGTTCGGGGGATCTTCGCGCCTGCCAATCACTGGTGGCTGCCTCTCTGCTGTCTGCTACCACCTGTTTGCAGAACTTACAGCTGGTGTGACTAATGCCCCGGCCTCGCGCGCAGGAGGGTGTGAACAGATCCGTAGCATGTCACACCAACTACATTGACCATAGCAGCAGAAGGTATGCTGCCAAAACACGGGGTTGATCCCGCGATGGCTCATTACCACCAACCTTGCCTGCTACTGATGAGTGCCTGGCACCGACATCCTATATGCTGGGCCTCCGATCCAGTTTACCGTACAGCGTGCAGCTTCAAATGATGCTTGCCGCCATGGTACGGCACTGGACCGTCAACTTATAAACGCGGGCCGATCCAGGCTTGGGATTCGCACCTTCTTACTTCGTGTACATGATGTGCTGCTAGTGCTGCTAGTGTGCTATTCAACTTCAGCCTGAAGCCCTTCAGGCTTAGCGTGAGCAACCTGGCGGCCATGCGGCACCGTTGCACCCGCAATGCTCGCCAAGGTTGTTCGGAGAAAACGCACTAACCAATGGAGTGCTAAGTGGACGGGCCGGTCTTGAACCAGGGGCGTGTGAAATTCCTGGGCAAGTCTTGAGCACAGCTTTCTTCCACCGGGGTGCTAAAGTTTGAAATGTCTACTGAACAGTTGCATGGTGCTGATTTGTTAGTCAAAATTTTCGAAACTGATCAATCAGGCTCAGAGCACGCAGAAACAGACCGACACGAAAGATCTTGACCCTGCCTCCTAGAACATGAATCACAAGTGCGACCCAGCCACCACCTGTGCGGCTGGGGCGATGCAGGCATCTTCTGATCTTCATCCGGATCGGGCCGCCTCCGCTAAACCATACAGCCTAAGTATTAACCGTTACTCAACCACCCGCCCGCAACCCTGAAGCCTAATTCCAAACCCTCCATCCAAAAGCTACATCCTGAACCAACCCTAAACCCTAAACTCGCCTCCGGGAATCCACCTCCTTCTGGAGCTTGCGCCTGCCTGAAAACGTAGAGAGCTCCTTGCACCGACTTCTCAAAGGTTTCGAAAGTTCTCAAGTCTGCTGAGATCCCTGACCCGCTACTGACAAAAGTTCTCCGAAGTATGGCTGCAGAGTATATGTACATATGGTCAGGCGTCTGGCGTTCCCG